AAAGTTGTGCCTGATACACCCTGATTTCTGTTACTGCTATTTTAATTTATTTGCCACTTGTTGTTTATCTGTTATTTTAAAGTATGTTTTAAACTATGACTGTTTAATTGTATTTTTTTGGGGGGGGCTGGGCTGTGGGAGACAGGATTGTACATTTTATCGTGTAAGCCACTCCGATTGTGTTACACAGAGAGGCGGGATACAAATAAATTTTATTTATTATTATTATTATTATTATTATTATTATTATTATTATTATTATTATTATTATTATTCATATGTTAAGTCACCAACATGGCCAGGATCTCAGTCTCAGACTTTGGTTGTTGTTGTGTACTGGACTGGAATAGACCTCGACTCATGGTGACCTTGTGGATAAGACATCTCCAAGTCTCCTGTCCTCCACTGCTCTGCTTAGGTCTTGCAAATTCAGGCCCATGACCTTCCTGATTTGAATCCAACCATCTGACATGCGGTCTTCCTCTCCTTCTTCTGCCTTCTACCTTACCTAGCATTACTGTCTTTAATAATGAGTCACGCCTTCGCTTGATGTGGCTGAAGTACAGCAGCATCAATTTTGTCATTTTGGCTTCCAGGGAGAGTTCTGTTTAAGGACACATTTGTTTGTCTTTTTGGCCATCCACGGGGTCCTCAGCACTCTTCTTCAGCACTACATCTCAAATGAATTGATTTTCTTCTTATCTGTTTTTTTCACCATCCAACTTTTGCATCTAAACATGATGATGGAGAATACAATGGCTTGTATGATTCGAACTTTGGTGCTCAGTTGTATATCTTTACTCTTTAGGATTTTTATCTAGTTCTTTCATAGCTGCCCTTCCCATTCCTGATCTTCTTCTGATTCTTGACTGCAGTCTCCATACTTCTGTTCAGTGTCTGATCCAAGGTATGGGAACTCTTTGACTATTTTGATTTCTTCATTGTCTAGGTAGAATTTATGTACTTTCCCATGGTCATTATTTTTGTTTTAAGTTTAATATTGTGTCTTTGCACTTTCTTCTTTCACCTTCCTTAGCAGTTGTTCCATGTTTGTGATGTTTTTCCGCTACTAATATAGGGTCATCTGCATATCTTAGATTGTTGAGGTTCTTTCCTCCTATCTTCATGCCTCATGAAAGGCTATGGAACGCCCTTAAAGACATGATGGGAGTGCCAACACATCTGATAGTCCTGATGAGGAAACTGAATTCAGGACAAGAGGCTACTGTCAGAACAGAAGACGGAGAAACATAATGGTTCCCAACTGGCAAAGGCAGGGGTAGGCAACCTTTCCCCTTTAAGGGCCGAGGGACTTCAGCTCCCAGAATCCCAGGAGCTATTGGCCAACATGAGACTATTGGCCAACATGGCTGAGGCTTCTGGGAGCTGAAGTCCCTCAGCCTTCTATAGCTGTAGCCTCAGACTCCAGCTCCCACAATCCCCCAGTTAGCATGGCCAGCTGTGGAGTTCTGGAATTGCAGTCCCAAAGCATGAAATTTTCAACTTGTATTGCTCCTTCTCACTGGTTGATTGCTTACTTTTTCACAGACAGAAATGTGTCTATTATCAACATTTCTCTGTCTCTTTCTGGTATGCAACACCAAAGAGCTTAATTTCCAGCATGGACACCCCCCTCCTTGCAGCTTCCACATTTGGCAACCCAAACCAGACATTCAAAGGAAAAAAAGGATGAGGAAGCAAAAGACTATTTATTGACCCAAACAGATTGTGGATTCCTACCCCTCTAGTTGGCGAAATCTATGGCATTGCATAACTGCAAGTGATAATATCTGTTGTTCATGGTTTTACAGTCTGGTTATTCATTCTTTTATTGCAGGTCTGTGCCTAGTACAAAGGGCTTTGAATTTTCTTTTTTCTTTTTTTAAATTGCTTTAAAAAATTCTCATTGGGTAAGCACTGCAAGTTACTACTGTTACTTATAAACAGCCACAACCATAAAAGTCTTGGTTTGCTTTAGCAAGAATATGTTTTGACGTGGTGTGGGTTTTGCATTATTTCTAAATTTCCCCAGCGGGATGGGTATTATTTTCTTAAAAGTTCAGTTGTAGGAAGTCAAAAATAACACTGGAGTCTCATTCAGAAATTAATACAACTAAAGGCATAAGGATAGTATTCTTATATTTTGTTTTTAGCCAGTGTTTAGGTAAATGCCTTGTTAGGACTACAACTTCAACAATCTCCTAGCCTTTTGGCTGGTGCTTTCTGAGAGTGGTGCTCAAAAAGGAACTTTCCCCAAGTTCTGTTTCTATCCAGAGATGTCTGGAAATGTCTGAGCTAGAAGTAAAAGTAACAGGAAGGATTGGGAATTTGGTGGCATATTGCCTCTGCAGGTGGAGCTACCAGAAAGTAGTTGGTGGTAATTGCTATGGAATTCACTTCTATAAATGTCATCTGATTTTTTTAAAGTCATCCTGTGGCCATCTCCACCCCATCTTGTGGCAGTGAGTTCCATCAGTGAATCATGTGCTGCTTGAAGAAGGAGTTCCTAAGTACTTTGCATAGGATGTTGCAAAACTGGAGCGTGTCCAGAGGAGGACAACCAAAATGGTGAAGGGTCTGGAAACCATGAAGCCCTATGAGGAACGACTTAGGGAGCTGGGGATGTTTAGTCTGGAGAAGAGACGGTCAAGAAGTGATATGATAGCCCTGTTTAAACATTTGAAGCGGTGTCATATTGATGAAGGAGCAAATTTGTTTTCTGTTACTCCAGAGGACAGGACCTGGAACAATGGATGCAAGCTCCAGGAAAAGA